AAACTGCAGAGTTCTGGCCATTAGATGTAGCTCGTCTGTGTTGGGACATTCTTTTGAACGCCCACCCCCCATCCACCCCGTTAACAATAGGTGCTAATTAGGTGTCAACGATAGCCATGTGATGTGAGTATCAGTCACATGGAGGCAGGGCTTAAAAGCCTGAATTTTGCCTGAAACTCTCAGACTGAAGAAGTCTCTTGGAGGAGAGACGAACCGTTTCATTAGAGAAGAACCCGTCCAGAGGACCTACACAATTTTTTTTCTTTTTGAATTTTTACCTGGATTACTGAGATGCATCAGGACATAATGCACAGCAGACCTATGGATTGGTTTAAATTGTTTCTTACCTTCACCACATGCCATCCCTGTTGAAGACAAAATACACAACAGCTGGTCCCTGCATTATCAGTGTCAGTTTCTTATCTGTCTCTGACTTAGAAGTGAACAAAGTTTGGGTCATTATTCTAATAAAGTTCATTAAGTTTGACATGAATAATTTTATGCTCCTCTCTTGAGAACTCGCTGCAACATTTCAGCTTATTTACAAACTATACTTTGACTTGACCATTGAAATGTATTGATCCTTTATATTTTAGCCATTATTTTTGTTTTTATAACATGAAGTTCAATAAGGAGGTGTAGTCAGTTTCATCTTTTTTTACTTAGTTTGTGTTAGATACATATTAATGGAGGGTAATATACTGTATGGTCATCTTGTATACATCTGAGTTTGATTTACCTCAATCAATCAGACATAGATATAGTAAACAGAGAAATAAAATAACCCTAAACTTGTGTCTGTGCATGACCTAATTGTTTTGAGAACATAAAAATTGTAATAAACTTTCCCCTTGGATTTGCTCCTGAAAATCTGAAATGTAAAGTCTGTGCTTTGAAAAGCATGCATCTTAAAGGAATTCTGGAGTTACAGAGCTGTGAGCAACATGTCAAATTAAGGGTTAAGCTGATGGATTGACCACTAAACCAACTGTAAGAAAATGGAGTTTCCCACAAAAAATAAAAATAAAAAATCGAATTCAGTTTCATGGAGACTTTTGATTTTTCATCAGAAGCCAAATTGTGTTTTCATTGCACCCTTTTCGGTAACACTTTATAAGAACTACACCTTATTTAGCCTTAATTAATCATTAAAGAAGGGTTACTTAACCTTGAAAACATCATGAATTAAGGATGATTCAGACTTAATAAGCTATGAATTAACAGTTTTTTAATGTTTTACCCATAAAGGCTAAATGCTTCTAAAACCAGCATACTCATTTACTCCTGCTTAACAAATCAAGAATTAACTATTCTATATACTATGTTTATGTATGTAAATGCTCATATAAATGTTTTTCACACCATGTATTAGATATGTATTAATGGTTAGAGAATGTTTGAATTGACCTTGATCTACTAACCCTGCAGTGCATCAATAATTAAGGCCTGTGAGCCTTTGCTGCCTGAGCGTTAAGTCAAACTTCCTCCAAGAGCACGGGCTAAAGAAAAAATACTGGAGTCATAAGCAATAAAATAAAGGGTCTTTACTTAAAAAACAATTTGTATTTCATGTATTATATTAATGCATTTGGCCCACAGTCCTCAGATAGGTTTTCATTTTTGCTCCTCTCAGGGAAAGTTTTAGCCATCTTGCTCTAACCAGAAAGTTAAACGTATGCTCAGGCAGGTCTCACAGGAAATTTCATAAATTGATAAAATAAGAGCATTTTGGGTCTTGTAAAGTTTGCAAATCTACTGTACATGTGTGCTTAAATCTAATCTAAACATATCCTGTAGTTACTTGTATTATCATGTTTAAACTTAATATAATTTAAAGCTAAAATCAGAACCATGAGTGAATACAATCTACACTACAGCCCCTTATACAGTGATTGGATGAACATATGTAATGATTGTAAGTGGAAATGCAGTCTTTCTACATCAGAGGACAGAAAAGTACAAGCTGGTAACTAACTGGTGACTAATGCTTAAATAAACACAAACGGTCTTCACTTTAGAAGGGTTCACAAAAAGACTTAACTAACTACTAACACAGGGTTAGTAGATAGTCAATTCAAACATTCTCTAAACCAGGGGTTCTCAAACCTTTTGGGTCTGGGGACCCCTTACAAGGGCAAATGAACCCCATGCTGTTTTAAAAGATAATTTATTTTCATTGCAACCCCTAAAGCTGAGTACGGACAGCTGGTGGACCGCTTTGTGACATGGTGTGGGAACAATCATCTCATCTTGAATGTCATCAAAACAAAGTAGATGATTGTAGATTTCAGGAGAAATAGTGTTAGATCAAACCCTGTTTCCATCATGGGAGAAGAAGTGGAGGTGGTTGAGGAATATAAATACCTTGGTGTTCATCTGGACAACAGACTGGACTGGAGACTCAACAGTGAAGCAGTCTACAAGAAAGGACAGAGCAGACTGTTCTTCTTAAGGAAGCTGAGATCCTTCAATGTCTGCAGCAAGATGCTGCAGATCTTCTACAAGTCTGTTGTTGAGAGCGTCATCTCTTCTGCCATCATCTGTTGGGGCAGCAGCATCAGAGCCAGGGACCTAAAAAGGCTAAACAACCTGATAAAGAAGGCTGGTTCTGTTCTGGGGACAACTGTGGAATCTCTGGAGATGATGGTGCAAAGAAGGATTTTACATAAAATCAAGAACATTGTGGACAACCTTGACCATCCTCTTCATCAGACTGTCATAGAAAGACAAAGTGTCTTCAGTCGGAGGCTTCTTCAACTTCGCTGTAATACAGACCGCTACAGAAGATCTGTCCTGCCCACAGCCATCAGCATCTACAATAACTCTTTAGTTAAATGAGTTACAACAACACCTAATTTCCCTCTGGGATCAACAAAGTATTTTTGAATTTGAATTGAATTGAAGTGAAATGTCATGGGAATATATATTTTATTAAGTTTATTGTGTTTCTTTTATTAGTTCATTGTTCTCCATGCATTTTTAAAAATAAAAACCAAATTAACAACTTAGTGAAATCTTTTGAGGACCCCCAAGATACCTTTTGCAGACCCCTGGGGGTCCTGGGACCCCAGTTTGAGAACCTCTGCTCTAACCAATAACACATGTCTAACACATGGTGTGAAAATATGTTTACATGAGCATTTGCATATAGATATACACAGTGTATAGAATAGTTAACTCATGAGTTATTATTATTTTCTGTTGTACAGTGTCCTTGGGTGTCCTGAAAGGCGCTTTATTTATAAAATGCATTATTATTATTATTATTATTAAGCATGAGTAAACAATGAGTATGTTGGTTTTAGAAGTAATCAGCCTTTATGGGTAAAACATTAATAAATGAGTTAATTCATAGCTTATTAAGTCTGAATCATCCTTAATTAATGATGTTTTKAAGGTTAAGTAACCCTTTATTAATGATTAATTAAGGATAAATAAGGTGTAGTTATTATAAAGTGTTACCTATTTGGGTATGGTCCTATTGATTACTGAGATGAACTTACTTGTATGCATTAATTTTCTTTTCTTTCCTTTTTTATGTTTCATATTTATGCAGTATTATAAGATGTACGTATCTTACCCAGATAAGCAGGAAAGGGTCCATCTCTGCCAGCAGCAGGTTCAGGTAGTGCTGAATGTTTATTGTTTGGCTCATGTCATCTCGTACTTTGGCGCAGTCGTCGTGTACGCGCTCTATGATCTGCTGCCTCTCCCTCTTGGTGATCTCCTTCAGAGCTGTGGCAAGTTTTGTCACCTGGTTCTGCAGGTCTGAGTCTAGCCGCTCCACCTGGTTATTGTCRTTCTTCAGGGAGTCCTGGAACCAAAAATCAAGATCAGCGACTGAGTTATAAACATTCTTTATGATGAGTTTGAATGATATAAATGATTATTTGCATCAGTGCTGGTTCTAGTCATTCTGGTGCCCTGGGCGAGTTGAAGCGCACCCTCTCACCCTCCGAACTATGTCCCACCCACCCCAATTTGAACCCCTAAAAACAAGTTTGACAGTGTAAGGTACTATGGTAAACAGATTTATTTGCCCCCTCGGGTGCGAGTTGTATGGATTTTTTGCAAAATTTACAGATTTTTGAGGCCTTTTATACAGGTAAACGTCTGAAGAGGTTGGCATGTATGGGACAACAAAATACAGACTTGTTGTTATTAAGTTTGTCAACATGAACRGCTACCTGAGAGGCACTATAAGCCCCTCCCCCGTCAGAGTGTCGGAGCAGGWCGTGTCAGTGCAACGTCAATCAAATGAGAGAGATGGTGGGAGCGTTTGCTGCATTGGGGGGAGGGGTGGTGTTTTATGGGTAGAGTAGTTTATTTTTCCTGTAATACTTCATTTTATTTTTTTATATAACGCTAATTGAAGGGGGCGCTGAGCAGAGTTACAAACAAATAATTACTTTTTTCTTCTGTAGTTCGGRGCCCCCTCCAGCAGATGGCGCTCTAGGCGACCGCCTAGTTCGCCTATGCCAAGAGCCGGCTCTGATCTGCATGATCATGATGTATATTTGGATCTACCAATGAACAAATCTAAAGTAATTCAGTATTTGAACTCACAGCCATGGCAGAGTCAATGTTTTCATGCTCTTTGAGAATTCTTTCCCCATCTTTGAGTTTGGTTTCTGCTTTGATGAGCAGCGTCTGCAGGATGACCTGTAAAGTCCCACATTCATAGTTAGAGAAGCCTCACCTCATCTGCAACTATTAAATCACACACAGTCATCGAGGAGCCYTCCACCTGACCTTCAGGTCCTCCTCCACATGTCTCAGTGCCTTCACTTTGTGCTGGGCGTGGCTCCCCTCCAGCAGACAGTCAGCGCACACATACACCCTCTCGTCCACACAGTAGTAGCGGAACACCTCTGAATGTGCGGGACACCTTCTCTGGGACAGATCCCCCACAGGCTCCACCAAGAGGTGGCTGCTGAACACCGGTCGATCCAGGTGGGGTTGAAGGTGGCCAGCACACAGGGACACCTCGCACCTCAGGCAGGTCTTTACAGCCAGAGGTGGTCGCCCGTCTTCTGCCTGCAGTGGGCAGCAGTCGCACAGCACTTCTCCATGCTCCTCCTGACACTGGGGGCAGGTGAAAACTTTTCCTTCCCTCTGGCCGCTCCAGGCCTCACGAATGCAAGCTGGACAAAAGCTATGGCCACAAGGGAGGGGGTGGGGCTGGCTGAAGCTGTCTCGACATACAGAACAAGTCAGCTCTTCATCCACGGACGCCATGGTGCTCAGATGATTCCTAATCAGAGCTGCTAACTAAAAAGTGGATTACATGATGAAGAGAGGTCAATAACATGCAACATTTATTGTAAATACACCCATACACCAACAAAGACTATAAAACTGACTTATCCGCAAATGCTCGAGTTGGCTTTCAAATTACTCTCCAACTTGAAACAAGTGTGTTCACCATGTTGTTTCTTTTTTCTCTTTTCTCCCAATAACCAAAGAGGTTCCTCAGGACTCCATATTAGGACCACTGCTCTTCACTCTCTATAAAAACAATCTTTGTTATAATTTATCAAATGCGGCATTTTACTTGTATGCAGATGATACAGTCATCTGTTGTTCATTAACATAATTAACTCAAACCCTTTGTAGCAAGAGTGAACTTGACATCATCTCGTGTACTTCTCTTTTTGTTATTTGACCTTGGGGCCTTTGCATAGCCTGTATGTGACACTCTGATGAGCGGCCTTGGTCGCTTCTTTAAACTTTAAGGAACGAGGATTTGCCTTTTGTTAGTGTCAATGTGTTTGTTTGTTTTTTTTATCAAACTTTAGTTTCTTTAAAGCTCTACAGCTTAGTTATTTCAAGTTAATACACTCAGATTTAGATCTGCTTATAATATAAATAGTGTTTGGTGTAGGGGTGAAGGTTATAAATAAACGGTTCTTTTAAGTATTTATTCTCTACCATTCCTTTCTCATTTTGTAATCCAAAGAACGCCTGAAGCAGACGGTTGTAGTAGATTTGAGGATTTTTCTTTTTGAACTTGCTAGAAGTTTAGTGCATGAATTAAACCAGATGGACCTGCTCATTACTGGTATACCGTCTCCAGTGCTTTGATAAGATGGGATTAGTTGGATTGRCTTTGTTTGGCGAGTATTAAAGCCACGCACCTCTCTGGTCGAGGTGAGAATGAATTGAGAACTCCTCCAGTCTACCTTTAATGTTGTTCAGTCATATTCAACACAAGGTAAAATAAATACAAGCAAAACTATTGTCATGATATTCTGAAATAGCACAGAGTTGTCTGAACTTTCTTAGAATAAAACTATTCAAATAGCTGAATTTGAAATGGTTACATTGCACACGTAATTAGGTCGTCAATTAAAACTTGGAGAAAATGGGTTGATAGATGGCTAGAAAAATAYATTACAATGATCAACTGTTTACAAAAGTACCAGAGGTTAGGAGTGGCCACCATTATGTTTTGTGTGTTACTACTGGTTGTTGAAATTGTGTACTTCACTATTGCCATATGTGCGTCTTCATCTGTCTGCGGACTTTCCCATTGGTTGGTTTTTATATTCAAATATCTGCTTGGGCTTGTACCTTCTTATCTGTGTTTTTGAGTGTACTGTAAATACCCACAAGTGTTACCCATTATGTCATGATGTTTTACAAATATCTGTTCCCAGAGTCAYACCAGAATTAGTAATAAAGGTTGCGTAAGTTTCATGTTACATGTACCAGACACTAAGACCGTTAGGAGAAAAACCCACTTTGACAGCTCACTCAGACCAATAATCCTGTCTGCTGACCTTCTGCTCTAAGAATGAAAAAACTCAATGGATAAAATGAAATAGTTACATGGAAAATGTYAGTTGTCAAAGAAAATAAAAAATGCTTCATTAACTCCWTGAGYAAATACATCAAAATGACACAAAATCTTAAAAATTATAACATGGTCAATCAAAACCTGATTAGGGTTTAAGCTGACCTTAATGTTTCAGAGATGATAGATGAGACTATGAAGAAAACTTTAATTTATTTTCATATTTTTTAGTAAAACAAGGTTAAAGGGTGACCTCTGATGAGCATTAATTCAGCTAAGACACAAGCTGTRGCAGCAGAGGGATCAGGAGATCATCCTCCTACACCTGCTGTTATTCTGTTGTTCACCTCCAACCCTTGTTTGCCTAGCTCAACTTCTTTATTTGAAAGGGAAACGATGAAATAGTTTCCTTACCTGCTGGTGTCCTGGTGCTTACAGACCGCTGCCATCAGAGAGCCTATCCGCAGTGTGTGAGGTTAGTATCTTGACTAATCCCAGCAGATTCTCTGCACTCAGGGGTCACCTGACCCTGAAAGGGGAGGGGACTCTTTTATAATTTCTTTTAAAAATAATATAACTTTTAAACAATATTAGGATACTGAGCCACTTCAACAAAGAACAAATGGGGTTTGTTTTGCTTTAAAGAATATTCGGAACAATTTTCACATGTAATGTGTTGGCGCTCAAAGTATGTGTTGGGATGACTCTTTGCTCGTTAGCATTAAAATTGTCTGAGTTATGGCCATTTTTGTGTTGGCTAATATTTATTAGTGGTAGTGACAGTCTTAAAATTGACTGGCTTCAAAAGGTAATCAGTTGTAGGTGTACATCCAGTGGTTACTTTCTGACATTTTTACTCAAATCCATTTGGTGGTTCATGAGATATTTCGCTAACAGACAAATAGGGTTGACTCCAACAGTTAATGCTTAAGTTTTAAACAAAATTTTGTACAAAAAGTAGCACTTTTGAGTATGTGTTGTGACTGCCTCTCAGCTACTACCAAACCAAATTTTAGCAAAAATGCATGTCACACTGGCTGACTTATTGGCAAGTTTGTGTTTTGAAGCTCTGTTGACTGCGGCAACCATCTCGCATCAGGTTGGCTCCAAATGATAATTAATAGATGTACATTCAATGATTATTTCCTGCAAATGTAATTAAAATATGTCCAGTGGTAGGCGAGATATTTTGCTAACAAAGTTGACTCAAAACAGTTAACAGGAAAATGTTTACAAAGATCTTGTGTGTCTTAGAACTCAGAATACGTTGTGGTTTTGTCTCACCTACAACCACCTTTATCTGCAAAATTAAATATACTTTTGTAGTTTGTTTTCTAATGTCATATAACTGTCTTGACCATCTTTGATTTCAAAAGTTAATAATTAACAGATGGTTAGAGCTTTTTAATCTTCTAACTTGTGTTTGAGCGACACCTGGTGGCTGTGATGTGTCATTGCACCTGGTGGCTGCTGTCGACCAGGAGTCAATAAAAAAAAGTGTAATGGAAAAATTATATATCCACAGGTGGAAAACTCAACAAGTATGCTTTGTAAATATTCCACAAATTGTTATAAACAAACTTATTTAATTTTTAATTTAATTAACTTTAAATTGTTATTTAGTTCCAACACATTAAATATGAAATGACACAGAAGTAAAAACATGTATCATTTATTTTCCACACTGAAAGTTTATTTGACTTTATCGATGGGAAATAACACAGCCGCTCGTGCAAGTATTGAAACTACAATGTGTCCCTCGGGCCAGAGGTCCAGAGCRGGTGTGTTTGGTAACTGAGGTCATTAATAATGAGAGACAGGCAGGCAGACAGCAGCTGCAGACGGACACACGGACAGACAGTACCGCAGAGAGCGCAGACAGGCTGGACAGGAGCAGCAGGCCCCGACAAACACAAACAGCGCCAGAAAAAAAATAATCCCCCCTCCTCCTCCTCCTTTCTTTCTCCCTGTATTCCTGCCATCTGCACCGCCCCTGCTCTCCCCACAGGACTAAATACTTCCTTATATTAAACCACGAGAGAGTCTATTTGCGAAGGAGATAATTAATTTGAAGAAAAATAACGCGTCGGTCCGACTGCGCATCTCCGGGATTGAYCAGGGAAACACTGCGCCAGTGTCCCGGCTGAGAGAGCATCAGACCGGTGGAGCTCCGGAGGGTCTTCCTCCCTCCCTCCCTCCTCCTCCTCCTCCTCCTCTCTCGTCATTCCACAACATCGGTGCCGAAAAATTATACAGAAAAAAAAAATCATCGTTTCCAACAGGGTGAGTTGATGTTTTTGTGTGTTTTTTTTTTTCTTACAGGACCGCGTCGCTCGACGAGCGGCCCGCCATGTCAACGCACATCCGGAAGCGCGTTTTTTTTTTTTTTCAGAGGAGTCGTAATATTTTATGAATAATAACTTGTTATGATGTGGGGGGCGCGCGCACGGCGTGCAACAGGTCGCTGTACAGTAGCGGGCGCGCGCATCTCCCAGACGCTTTTTTGGCGTTGATTTCTTCACATTGACGTAAAAAAAAACCACCAGCCATCTCATGGAGGAGCAAACTGGTAAAATGGCACGACATAAAAGGCGATGGTTGTCTTTCTGGCACGAAAAATTCCGTTTTAAACGTGATAAAATCCACTCTTTTGACTGTTTTTTAAACACAACTCTTAGAGTTATCTTTTTTATTTTTTACAGTTATAATGTGATGCTTTTCTTTCTCCATTATTATTTGAATCCCATTAATATATGTAAACCATTAAGTTAAATTGACAATACTATTCAAAACAAAAGAAAAAAAAGGCTTATTCATGTTTATCTTTATATATTTCAGATTACTGAATACATTTGTGATTGTACTTTTCATTATTTAATTTTATCCCTGTACGTTTCAGCAATCTCATCAGACTTAACATTAAATAATGATGTGTTTAATTATTCTGTCCAAACCCCCACAAAGAGAAAGGGAGGTGGAGAGCGATGTTGAGGCTGCCACAGGGCCTGGGTGAAAAAGAAAAAAATGTCTGGCTCTGTCCTTTCTTTCATTACCTTTCTCTCCACGTGGTATAAGCAGTCAGCTTGATGGTGAAAAGGGAGCATTGTGCCTCCAGTCAGTGGCATTATGTGTTAGGAGAGTTTCTAAGAGGGTGATGTGCACTCAGCTGTGCTTCCCCGAACGCCATTGTTGCACATTCCTCCTCATTGCAGCCCTTTCTGTTGCCTGAGCTGCATCCAGGAGCCCAAATTAAATATTCGGTCAATATCACGAACAACCTGATCGGCTGACTGTTTTATGGGAATCACCAGGTGACAAACAAAAGGTTTGACTTTAACAAAGAAACAAACAAAAAAAAAATCTTGTTTTACACAATCAAAAATATTTTAGGTGGTTTTACTTTTCCTAATACAAATAGCTAGAAGCTCAGACAAATGCAATAATGTGATTAAGTTTAGTTCTGATGTAAAACGAGAGGCAGCGGACTCCTGGCTCAAAGGACTGAGTGTTCACTTGCCATTTGAATGCAAAGTAGTTTAGTGGATGAACAAGTTCGTATGTGTGCGTGTGTGTTTGTGTGCGCACAGAAGAGAAGGAGGCCCGGCAGTGAGTTCTGAGWAAAAAGGGAAAGAGAAATCAGGCTCCCACATCATTTCACTTAATGTAGTCCATTTGATCCCGATCATCCGCTGCCTCGGTTTAGATAAAGATTGTTGTTTTTCTTCTGTTTTTGTCAAAATGGAACCATTCCAACTTTTTTTCATCATGCAGTGAGACATTGGTCTTCAGTGCTGACCCCTCCATCCGTGTCCAGCAGGAAACAGAACCAACCCCAGCAGCTCTTGAGCCTGACCCTCGCTGCCTGTCAGATACTTGTGTGATAGTCTGTGAAGAAATGATTGTTTAAAGGGCAAAAATGCAAATCTTAGACCAGAGTTAGTCAGTGAATAACTAATGTTTGCTGGTGTGTTGAAGAGTAGTAACTCTGGAGTTAAACACCTATCCCAGTAATTTTTATGTTTATTCTAAATCATAATTTTCAGCCTATTTAATATGTAATATGGATCCAGGTCTGTGATTTTTTTTCTTCTAGACTTAAAAAAATGGGATTTTATTGAAGAGTGTCTTACATTTATTTAATAGTTTCATCAATAAATGGCCTCGTTTGTTTGATTAAATCCAAGGACTATCACTCTTAATTTTCAGGTTTAAACACAGAGACCACAAATAATTCAGAGAGGATGAGCATGAGGTGGTGAAGGAAAAGGAAACTTTGAAAGGCACTACGTGTGCTGCAGTGGTACTGGGTCTTAATGTCCCCTTCAGCTTTGTTGTTAACCACTGAAGCGTGAATATAGTTTGTGTGTGTGTGTGTGTGTGTGTGTGTGTGTGTGTGTGTGTGTGTGTGTGTGTGTGTGTACGTGCGCGCACAGCTGTGTGCATTTGGAACCATTTGTCCACTTAAGCTGCAAAGACATGAATCGGTCTCTTGAATGTCAAGCTTTCAAGTAAAAAGCAACAATGTTTCTGTGTTGCACTTTGAAACGCACATTTTCCATGTGTTTTCACCTCTGCCCAAGTGTGCTTACCCAGTGAGCATGCTGATGAATTCGTAAGTGATCATGCCTGTCTGGCCTTTTTGTTTTAACTGCACATAAACTCACTCCTTCTGCTTGCCCCTAAACCAAATCAGAATAGAATTTTCCATATGTTAAAGGTTACGTCTGGAAGCAGACACAAACAAACCCACACTACAAAGGAGATGAAAGTGAAAGAGATGATAGAACACTTTTTGATGTTGCGTCTTTTTCATGAAGACAGGAGTCAAAGGGTAAAGTCTTCTGTCATATAGGGCCCTCTCCCAGTACCCACACTCCCACCCTCGTTCCACCCTTGTGCACTTCAAATGCGCTTTCATGTTAAAGGGTTTGAGTGCCCAGTGTGTCCCACATTTTCCACATCCGCCCTTCGCCCCGCCCATTTTGGGTACTATTTCCGCCCTTCCGCGAAGTCTGCATTTTTACGGACTTCGGTGAAGTGTATTACCCACAATTCATTGCTGCCAAAACAGTGACCGTTTTTTTAAATAAAACTTTATTGAACATTTGAACATGGTACAAAAAATAACAATGCTGCCAGGGGGAATGAAGAACTGAAAAGAGAGGAACAAAATATGTATAAGTATATGTAATAATAATAATAATAATAATAATAAACATTAAATAAAGTGATTACACCACAAAAAGAACCAATCACAACAGTTAAATCAGGAATTCCTAAAAGTGAACAAGACATTTTAATTTTTTTGCCTTCTGATTAGTAGAGAAGTGAATAGATTGCATAAATTGTGTAAACTCAATCATGAAGGAGATAAAAAAAATTTCTTTCTTTAAACATTTGCTTTTATGTATAAGAAATTTGGCCTAACAGCGACCGGTAGCTACCGGTGTTTGATGAGGTAATCCGTACTGTCCCAATTCTCAATTGTTTTGCACGCTTGTAACCTGCACACTCGAACACTTWTGTGCACTTCGACTGAATACACACTTCACAGAGGGACGTAGGGTATGCACTGAGCATCGGGACTGGGCCTATGTGTTGACCTGGTACCATGTTTTCCTCCTCTGTATTCTTGTACCCTAATCAGATGGATGCTTGTGTGTCTGAGGATACGTACAGGGATTAGACAATGAAKCTGAAACACTTGGTTTTAGACCATAACATCCCTTTCAGACAGCTTCCTCTTGTGTCCACAGTTAATCCTGTTGGATGAGGTTGGTCCTTCTTGATGGTATGCTGACATTACCCTGGATACTCTGACTCTTGATACATCACAAAGACTTGCTGTCTTCGTCACAGATACGCCAGCAAGACGTGCACCAACAATTTGTCCTCTTTTGAACTCTYGTATGTCACCCATAATGTGTGCATTGCAATATTTTGAGCCAAACTGTGCTCTTACCCTGCTAATCGAACCTTCACACTCTGCTCTTACTGGTGCAATGTGCAATTTATGAAGATTGGCCACCAGGCTGGTCCAATGTATCCATGAAACCTCCCACACTAAAATGACAGGTGTTTCAGTTTCATTGTCCAACCCCTGTATGTGTGCCAGCATGCATGGTGTGTGTGACAACAGTAGGGTGACTATAACTGTCGAAAACTGGAAAAGAGAAAAAATATGGAATGACAATAAATAAATAAAAGATGGATGTTAGATGTATAAAATGATACTAGAAGTTAAAATAATCTACTTGACAAGATTGTATATAATTTCTCACTGATGTATTTTTCATGTAAATCATTTCTATCTTAACTAAATTTAGATTGCTTTCTTTCAACATTCCCCAGATGACAACTTGCCACTGAAGTCACACTCCTTTACAACCATCACAGATTKTCTGGAGTGCTCTCCACCATCTCTTCAAAGCCCAGATCTGCTTATTGCTTTCTGTTCATTTTTCAAAAGCTTTCACACACCGAAAATACCCATAGAGGGTTCAATACTAATTCACCAAGACAGCCCCCCAAGCAGTCSCTCAGAAACAAACTGGTCTCTTTTTAAAATTTCCTTACTCACTCCTTACAAACACAATATCTTACTGCTTTTTCAACAGTACAGGTCTAAATATCTTTCATTCCCTGTTTCCAGCCTGCCAATATGGCTTCTCCCAAGTTGGGGTTATCCGCTACTACCACTACCTCCTCTTCTCCGTTATCATCCTCAGCCTTACTATGTCCTCCACCACACCCTGGAAGCCCCAGTCAGGTGCCTGAGGGTCCTCCCAGTCCTGTTACACCTATACCAAGTCCAGGATTGACGTCTGCCACAGCTGCACCTGTTAGGACCCAACTGAGTATTGCTCTGATCCTAGAGGAGCTCCGGGTGCTGCAGCAACGACAAATCCATCAAATGCAGATAACAGAGGAGATCTGTAGACAGGTGCTACGTCTTGGTGGGGACTCCTATAGCATAGACACGCCCTCCCAGTATCTCCTGCCTCCTTTGCCTCAGTTGTGCTTGGAAGGCAGCAAAAATACGACCCAGCCAGCTGCAACTCAGCCCTCCACCACGGTGGCCCCTCTCCTGGCATGTTTCTCCTCCCTGCTTCCCTCTCAGACAGCTAACAAACTCACACAACCATGTACATCCTTATCTCAGATTTTGCAGCCTCACAAATCACAGATGGAAGGAGCAAAGGGAACTGCAGTCYCTCATGGTCCTCCATGGGAGAGCTCTCAATGTTCCCAACCCTTCACCACTTCCTCTGCAGGCAGCTCCATGTCTTCCTCCACACATCCTCTAGCTTTAGCTATACCTAATCGATATCTTCATGAGAAATCTCCTAATACCACTTCAGCAAGTGGGCAGAGTGACATTTCCTTTTTAAATTCATCCCTCTCCACACCATTATCTGTGATCCCAAACTCACAACGCACATTGCAGTCTGTCTCTGGTGGTGTTGACTTCTCAGCATCTAGTTCCAACACTACGGGCCGCCTCCAGCATGTGTGCCGTTTTTGTAGAAAAATCTTCAGCAGTGATTCTGCCCTGCAGATACATGTTCGTTCCCACACAGGGGAACGACCATACCAGTGTCCAGTGTGCCTGAGTCGTTTTACTACAAGAGGCAACCTGAAGGTACACTTTCTTCGCCATCGTGAACAAAACCCAGAGCTCTCACTTTCTCTTCTGCCACCATCCTTATTTGGGGTAGCATTAGGGGCCCCTGGGGTCTCAGATATAGGGCAGATCATCAGCAGTGGTAGTAGCACTAGTGGAATGAATATTACACAGAAGAAGCCAAAAACTAAGACTGAGGATGAAAAGTGCAGAGATAACTTGGAGTCCAGTGGTACTAGTAGTGGACTTRCTTTGGGGACTTCTGAAGAATCAGCTCCTTCTACACTGCCTCTACCTCCTAGTGTAGATTTATCTTTGATTTCTCACTCTCTCCTGCAGCTAAATAGGGCTGTTGCTGCTGCAGCCTCAATTGCCTCCTGTTCATCCCAGTCATCCACTTCTGCTTCAACATCCACTTCTTCTTTGGCTACCTCCCTTCTCTCCAGCCCTTCCTTGTCTTCCTCTTCTACCCTTGCTGGGTTATTCAAAGGTTCCAAACAGCACTTTGATGAAAACACTCCACCTCACGCACCACTGCTGCCTCCCGCAGCCTATTCTCAGTTGGCCCACCTCCCAAAGCTTCTCTTCCCAACTACTTCCACTTCTTCCTCTTCCCAAACTGCCCACTCACCTTTGTATAGCCACCCAGCATTGGGCTTGCTACGTACGCAACTACCCTCTCTTGTTGGCTCCCAACAARATACTTCTTCCAGCCATTCCCAACTTCCTTTTCCTGTTTCTTCTTTTCCTAAAGTTCTTGGTCAACCTGCTACCACCCTTCCATCATTTCTGCCCTCCTCTATAACTACTACCACTCCTACATCTGAAACCTCAAAGTTGCAGAGACTGGTGGAGAAGCTAGAGAAGGCCCCTCCACTCTCCTGTTCTTCATGGACTTCCTCTTCTACTACTGCTTCCATGCTTGAGATTTTATCTGGCAGCCCTAAGTCCTTTTCTTCAAGTTCAGCCAACAGTCATTTTACAAATGCCAGCACCTCCACCACATATGTTGTGGCATCTCCATCTTCAAATGTCCTTTCTACCTCTGTTTCACAGTTCACCCGTGAAATGGTTGTTGCCCTAGGAATGGGTGGCAGTGGAGCAAATGCAATGGTGGGTGGAGTGTTACCATCACTAAGTACTGCTGGCTCACCACATAACCTGGCAACCAATCAGTGTGGGGTCTGTCTCCGGGTGTTGAGCTGTCCCAGAGCACTTCGGCTACACCAGGCCACACACCTTGGAGAACGTCCATTTCCATGTAAAATATGTGGGCGGTCTTTCTCAACTAAAGGCAGCCTGAGCTCACATCTTGCCACCCATCACGCTCGACCACCCAATGCACGTGTTCAGAACTCTTGCCCACTGTGCCAGCGTAAATTTACCAATGCCCTTGTTCTTCAACATCACATACGAATGCACCTTGGTGGACAACTGCCTCCAGACAGCATAGAGGATTCTAAACAGGAGATGCCACTTGAATCTAATCCAAAATCTTTGATACAGTCACAGRCCCAACCCACTGACCAAAATGCTGCTTTAAGTAGAACGCCTCCTCTAGATGGCCACACTAGAGACCCATTTTTAAGCTCYCAGTGTCAAACARCAACAGTTTGCTCAATCCCTGTCAGTGTAAATATGGATAAGAAAAGTCTCAGCAAGTCYCCATCCCCCAGTCCTGATAAAATCCCCCCTTCCAACCTGAGCCCTGAACCCTTCCCAAATCCCATCACACAAACTCCACCACCAGACCTTGCGGACCCTCCTATCCTTTGTGTCAATGCACCTCTGCCAGTCTCACAGCAGTCAGATAAAGCTTTGCCTACCTGCAAAGAAAGTCATGCTCAACAACAACCCTCTGCTGATAACCACATTCCTACATCTGAACCTTCACTCCTTCTATTCAGTGGTAACAAAACCCCAGAGTCATCTCCTGTAATGCTAGAGGATCATGAAGAGTCTAAAGAATCATCTACTTTAAATGCCTTCCCTGATGCCACACCTGATCTGGACAACTTACAAAGCACAACTGCTATTAGTGCTCATTTTGCTTACTCTCATCCCAMTACAACTTCTGATTCCATTTCTGGTCAAGAAGTTTTTGATGGTAATGCAGAAACAGCTATGGAAACAGACTCAGCCTCTCCAAAGCCACAGTCAWTGGAACCTATGGAAGAAGACAAAGCTCGGTCTCCCTCACCTCCAACACCAAAACAAGACCAAGGACCTGTGCCTGACCCCAAACTAACCCCCATGGTGGTGKAGACAGATGATCTAGCATCCAAAGCTAGGGGTGAATCACAAAGGGCAGTCACTTCTGCAAGAGAGACACGTCAAAGCTCTCATTTTAGTTCATATATGAGGGAAGATTGTGTTGAAGGAATTAAGATAAGTGGACTGGTTTCAAAGGAAGCTCTGGATGTTTCTGTGCCCATCAACCTGGCTCCAACACTCCCATCTCCAATGTCACGTCCTGAGAAGAAGACCTATTGCTGTGCTGAGTGTGGAAAAGAGTATGCCAGTCGCAGTGGACTGAAGGTAAGAAAAATATTTTTCAGTTTGTAATCAGTGAATGTATTTAATGTTTTCATTGTGGAACAGAGATTTTGTCAAGTTAAAACACATTCTTTAGCTTTAGGAGTGCTTTACATTTAACAATAACAACTAACCTTGCTTTATGGTGAGCATTGTATTATTGTATAATTGGAAAAACAACTATTGGGTTTAAATGTTAGCCATTGTGCACCATAAAAGAAAACTATCCACTGATTTCACTTTCTGTTTTATTTTAGTATTTAATAATCCCATTATTTAACCCATTTWTCATTCTTGAAAGCATTATAATGTAAATCGAAATGTTTAAACTCCTCTAATTCRCAGGGACACATGAAGCATCATGGTGGAGTACCCAAAACATCACGTCCACCAGCCAGAGGCAGTCGTTCGTCCTCTGACCAACTTCCCTCTTCTACATCTATGGCGTCTCTAAATATTCCAGCCACTAGGAGCTCAGCGGGTTTCTGGAACCAGTACCAAACCTTCCTCAGCACCAGTACTGACGGGACTAATGACCAAGATATAAATGAGTCAACACAGCCCCCCAAAATATCTGCGCGATCGCAGATGGATCCGAGAATCTCCGAGGAAGCTGGAGAGGAGTCAAGAGAAGGACCATAGCTTGACAATGCAGAGATTAGTTGGGAAATGTTCTGGTGTATTCAATCATTGTTTGCCTTTTAGCACATCTATATGAACATGTGCATAGTACTGCTTCCTTAACACATTTCAGGCAACTATCAATTTGATAGTCAGTAATATGTCTGTATGTGATTGTTGTAAAGTCACTCAGCTTGGTCCTGTTGTGTTATCGCAGAAAAACAAAAATCTGGGATAAGTAACTTCACTGTGATTAACTGAACTCATCAGCAAGCCCAGATAGCATTGTCAGTGTCCTACTGGCTCATCAATAAGGAAACAATAGAATGTGTTTAACTAATTTTATGTCATTTTGTAAAAATGTTGAGGTTGTTGTGTCACATTTTAAATCTCATCCAAATGGCCCTAAAGGAGGTTCAATCAAATTAAAACCAACTGTTTTGACAAARGCTACAACCCAGCTTTGTTTCAAACCACTGAATCCTATATCTGAGTCATTTTATTTGATATGCAGAAGAGATTTTGCGCTGTAAGAGAAAACAAATGTATCAATATGAATGTGCTAATGTGGGTTTTATTAAGTATTTTGTTCCCATATTGTGGTTATGAAAAGAAATTGTTCATGTTATTGTAGTTCTCGTTTATCTGTATTGTTCCTGTCAAAACAAAAGCACTTCTGCAGTGTTTGTGAGCTCAGGGAGGGCATGAGCTAGTTGGTGACCTTTGCCCTCCAGCTTTGTGAATATTTAGTGTTGTTGTACGAGTAATCTGTAACATCTTTGAAGAAATCAAAGTTACTATAAGCCTTTAGGTTTACAAATATATATCAAAGTCTGTGTCTGTTGTAAGATGTACTTTCTGTATCTCTATATTAAAAAAAGCCTTTTGAAATAAATAAAAATAGTGATTTAGTTCAAGGAAGACACATGAAAAAGGATGGCTCACTATTATTTGTAAATAGTGAGTTGAGAGGCCTCTGCTTAGAGAAATAGAATTTAATTCAAAGCAGATTGATGAAATATCAGCTAACCCAAGAGGATTCCTTTCRTTTTTAACACAATTCTCAAGAAATTCATAATGGTTTGTGTAAACACTATTCTATAAACCTTTACTTTGCTGTCACATTTCATCACATGGTTATTTGGGTTGGATTTTATGAGCATCTGCTAAGTGCGAACAGCAGGAGCAGCTAATTGTAACATTTAAACTCAGGGCACTTCGAACAAAAATATATTTCTGCCAGATGCAAGACAATGTAACACTAGTTTATAAAGGAGTATTTGTATGATCCTTTATGAAATTCTCGAGTTTGAAGTTTTAAGATGGCAGAAATCTGATCTTGATCTCGCTCGGATTAGCAGTTAGCTCATCATTCTGCTCAGAATTAAACGGGATGTCTGCAAAACGAGATTGTTCAAAGAGCAACCCACAACAGGTGAAAATTCTTTCAACAATTCACAGAACACTTCAAAGGATCTGAGCAATTGCTTTAAMAGAGACATGTTTTCATTTTAAACACTTAAAATTTAATTTGCTGCACATTTCTCCGCCCTATGTGCTAACAAATCAAAAGTATAAACTACATATGAAAAATATTAAATAACCAAAAAGCCTGGATTTATAGAAACATTCACACAGACTTTCTGGCAAACCAGACAATAATTCAAAAAAATTCAGACAATGGGGGCTTCTTTCAGATCTAGAGGCAGTGCATGCCATTTCATTTGAGCATTAATACAGAAAACGGCTTGTATTGATTCGAAAATGCTTTCTGACTAAGCTCCAACATTTCTGCAGACCTGAGTAGTCTAGTAGAACTACAGTAGTTAACATGTTTCTTTTACACTGAGGTTAAGGGCATTTGAAGATTTAACATTGATTCTGTAAGAATCCAAACTGCTGTATTTGCATGTGCTGTAGTCTGTGTACAGCCCATTCTGGGAGGCCTGCAAAAAATACAATAGTTCAACCTGTGTTGCTGCATCTTGGCCAGATCATCATTGTAAATAAGAACTAGTTCTCAA